GTTCAAACAGAAGTGGTTACATGTGAATGATGGTGGCCATTCATTACCATCACCACTAAGCAAGTTAGCATCATAAGAATACTAGAGGATATGAGGTCTGCTATATGAGCTTGACTGTAATTTTTTATAATCGTAGTGGGTATTTGAAGTATCTCCGACTTGCTGGATGTTACGGGACAAGTTCCTTGATTCTACATCATGCATCAGTATCCTTTGATGTCCGCTACAGTCCATTACCTGTATGGAGATATCATCCTTCCTTAGGCTAATCTGTCCTACATTTTCGAATCATGCAAATGACACCCCGCGTCTTGAGGGCAGGTTTTGTATAGGTTGAAGAAAATCAGACCGGTGAGATACACTATATGTCTGAAAGTATCCAGACACCTACTTTTCAGAAATCAAAGGTGGTAACGAGGAGCTAACATACTTTTCCTTTGCTGCAGTAAAAGCAACTGCTCTTCTGGAAATGTTGGAACATTGCTGCTGGGATCTGATGCCATTCAGTAGGCATGGAACTATACGCAGCTTTGAAAAATTGATAAATCAGGACAAAATTATCAATAAATATTGATAACTATAGATTTTTTTCATTATTTAAAACCATCAGTCTTTTGCAGTTGCATATTGGAGGACAGTGTCTCAGATAGTTTTACAAAAAAAAAAACGCAAGCATAAAGAAATCATAAACACTGACTAATGTCATTTTTTTATCATGGTTGCTCTTGTATTTTGTTCCCCCGTTTTGTTGCCTAGAGCTCTGAGCTGAAGCAGAACCTATAACTCTCCACACACATACCAACACAGTATTGCTGCAGAGCTACAGCTCCATTCAGGCAGTCTCCCAGTGCCAAAAAGTTCAACAACAAAAAGATTACTTATCAATTTCATGAACATTATCGATAATTACCAATAAATCCCAGCTCCACCAGGCACGAGAGCATTTCTAAGGTTAGTGACATTGGTAGATTAGGTCTGATTCACAAATGGAGGTCCACCTCCATTTGAACGATACTTCATCGCCTCAGCACAGCCCAAAAGTGTTCAGTGGAGCTTTATTTCTTCAACTTGTCTGAAAGGCTTTGGATAGTGTATCATCACTTGAGCAGTGGTTCTCAAGCTGGTCTTCAGAGCCCCTCGATGGTCCACATTTTTGCTCTTTGCTTATGTGTTTGGAGTTGGAATTGAGCAAAAAGTGTGGACCATCTGTTGGGTCCTGATGACCAGTTTGAGAACCGCTAATTAGATAGGGTGTCTTTGCATTTCTGTGCAATTCTGGAACTTACTTTGTAGGAACGTGAGGCGATAAGAAGCTATTCATCATTCTCACTGAGGAGGCATATCGTAATATAACCCAGGGAGTGTGTGTGTGTATATATATGTGTGTGTGTGTGTGTGTGTGTGTGTGTGTGTGTGTGTGTGTGTGTATACACACACACTCAGATCTTTTTGTTATTGATTAATGGATATTCCTCATGTCATGCAATACTATACACACTTCATTTATCTAATTTCCAGTGAAGATGGCCATTGAGTACAGTTAAATTTTTAGCATCAGAGAAAAAAAACGTAAAATGCATTTAACAAAAATAAATATAAATATATATATAAATATAAATATATAAATATAGCCATTTTTTCGGTATTTACTCTTTTTACACTTTTCCATTATTACTGCCTGCATACATTTTAGCATACTTGGGATGCTTTTTGTTTTTCATAGAATTCAGATATATTTTCCCACACCTCCAAAGTTCAGTCTTAGAAGTTGGTTGCGTTTTCTCACAACCCCAGTAATTCCAAACATCTCTTAAAGATGAAAGCTTTAAGTACTGTTTGTCTGATGATGACAGTTTTGGTGCTCTACCAGGTCTTTCACAGATGTTAAAAGCCTTATTTTCTTTATATGTTGCAATATTTTAACCCAGTTTTGCCACTCTTTTGACTTTCTCTTTCCGTATGCAAATATTTCCTATAAAAATGTATAACCTGTACTTAATGTTTTGAAATGAAATAAGTGAGGAGTGACCTCTGACTTTGGCGCAGTACTATATGACACAAATGGTCACTCTTGTCTGGCCGATGTTAGCCATGAGCACTTGAGGAACCACAGCATTAGTATGCCACATCTCTTCCTGCATTTCATTTGATCTCATCTTCTGCCTTCCAGGGTTGACTGTCCTGTACCTCAGAGCGTCACCTGCCTAGCAGTCCGGTCACATAGCCTTATGTAAATTTATAAATCCTGCCAATTTCATGGGATCAGATTGCTTGGAGAAGAACCTCACTGCACCATTGACAAATGGATTCTTGGTTGAAGCAAAGTGATCTTTATGGGAATGTCATGTTTGATGTATTACATTCATGACTATGACCCCAGATGTGGACCTTGAAAATCAGCCATTATAGTAGGCAGTTCTGAGACTTGGTGACCAAGTTGATGTTATGACAATAGTGATTTCTGCAGTGCATTCAAAGATAACTAGGACCCCTAAAAAGCTTTGATTAGGATTCTGATCTTGCTGGCTTCTAGGAAAAAAGCCCGGAATCCTGGGGAGGGAGCTTGTGTTTCATTTGTCGACCCGTCCATTGTAGATCAGTGGAAGAGGAGATGCAGAGAGCAGGGCCATTTCTGGCCATAACAATGAGCTCGTTTTATTATCTCCCTAGAGCAGCTTGATGCATCCAGCTGATAGAGGGTCCATGGATTAATGTGATGGGCGAGGAACCCACGCTGCCTTTTTCTTTCCGAGACAAACGCGGGTGTCTAAGCTCAAGGCACCTTACAGAAGCGTCGTCCATGGCACAGCAGAAAGTATGAGAGAAGCACCAATCATTGCTTTCACATCGTGTTTCAGTCTGAGGCTAATCTGCCTGATTGAGACTGATGGTCCAAACATGTTCGCACTGAAAGCTCCATCAATTTTGACGGGGCTCTTGACAAATTAAGAAGTGCTGATGCGATCTAGCGGGCGTGCTCGGAGCAGGCATACAAGCTGCCAGTGCTCTACCTTTATGGCTGGCCTTGTTGACACAGCCATAAAGTCTTCAGCTTCTAAATACCCACCCACAAAAATCATTTGTTTGTGTCACCTGCAGATTGAGTGTCACACGCTGATTAAATCAGATCTAAATCACATAGTAAAATTAAGCTGATTCTAAATCGGTGTTAATGGGTGTAGTGGTTACTATGGAACCGTGCAGGAATGCATGATGCTGTTTGCAGGAGCGAAACCTATGGATGTTACAAATGAAGAGAAAACACTCCCATTATAGAAGCAATAGGATAAATGCCATCAGATACCGCTGGGACCTCTATTTCAGTTGTATTACCTGACTGTATTATTGCAAACTGGAGATATTGGCAAAGCTAAAACACCAAGCGCCCAGACAACCACAGCTACATACTTAACAAAGATGAAAGAAGAACCATATACAAGAGGTTCTCCATCATTGAGAAGAACCATTTAACCAGGCAAAGAACCATTTAAGCATTTAAGCATGAGTTGTCATGGTTGTTTATATAGCCATTACCTTTACTAAAGGTAACTCCTTTTTTAAGGGTGTAGCTGGCCTTTCCTTAACATTTTAGGAAAAAAATAAAACACTTTCCACCCTTCTGGGAAGACTTTCCACAAGATTTTGGAGTAAGTCTGTAGAAAAAAGAATTTGTAAGGTCTGACACTGATGTTAGACGAGAAGGCATGGCTCACAATCAGTGTTCCAGTTCATGCCAGAGGTGTTCATTGGGTTTGACGTCAGGGCTCTGCAGGCCACTGGAGTTCCTCCACACCAAACTTGTCAAACCATGTACTTATGGAGATTTGCTTGTTGCACAGAGGAACAGTCATGCTGGAACAAAAAAGGGCCTTCCCCAAAGTGTTCCCACAAAATTGGAAGCATTTAATTGTCTAAAATGTCTTTGTTTGCTGTCACAGTAAAATTACCCTTCAGTGGAACTAGAGGCCCTAAAACAGTCCAAGACCAATATCCCTCCTCTAGCAAACCTAACTGTTGGTACTGTGCATTCTGGTAAGAAGCGTTCTCCTGGCATCCGCTAAGCACACATTTGTCCATCAGTCAGCTTTACACCACTCCAACCGAGGTTTGGCATTGCGCATAGTGGTCTTAGACTTGCGTGCAGCTGCTCAGACACTGAAACCCATTTCATGAAGCTCCTAACGCTCAGTTCTGTTGCTGATGTTCCTTCCAGAGGCAGTTTGGAACTGTAGTGATGCTTTTGCACTCTCCAGCCCCGCTCTCTGAGTTTGCATGGTCTGCCACTTCATGGCTGAGCTGTTGTTGCTCCTGGATGCTTCTATTTCACAACAATAGCACTTACAGTCAGATATTTCACAAACTGATTTGTGACAAAGGTGGCATGTTATTACAGCGCCACATTTAAAGTCACTGTGCTCTTCAGTGCAACCCATTCTACTGGCAGTGTTTGTCTATGGAGATTGTATGGCGGAGTGTTTGATTTTAGACAACTGTTCGCAGTGGCTGTGGCTGAAACACCTGAAACTCAATAATTAGGAGAGGTGTATGCATACTTTTGACTGTACACTGCATTTTCACTCAAATCAACAACATTTGAGAATAGCTTTGGTACGACTGCTGTATGATATACAGCGTGGTATGCTGTGCTGTGGTCCTTTGCACAGTGATGATGATGATGCAAGTACTTTTTCCTTGTGTTCTCAATTTAGATTTTTTTTCTATTCACTTATCTTTTTTTTCCACTTCACCCCTCCCTTTTCCCACTGCTCTCACTCTGTCTTTTTGCTCTCCCCCCCCTCCACCTCGTCTCTCACTATTTCACTCCTCCCATACTAATAAATTATGTATGCTGGTTCTGCCTGGCTGAGGCTTTGCATCGCTCTGCTTTGCTGAAAGTGCTCTCTCTCTCTCTCTCTCTCTCTCTCTCTCTCTCTCTCTCTCTTTCTCCTTCTCTCTCCCTTTCTCCTTCTCTCTCCCTCCCTCTCTCGCCCTGCGCACAGGACTGCTCTCTCAGAGCTCGCTGCAGCTCGGCTCCAACCCGGAGGGCTCCCTTCAGTACTCCGCTGGCTACCATAGCAACCAGCCCCTGGCCTTGAACGACGGCTCTTCTTCATCGGCCTCTCCCCAGAACCAGCCTCCGCAGCCTCCAGTGCGGTCCAGCGGTCAGCCAGGAGGAGCCGTCCACACCTACAACCAGGTCAGTCCCGCACTACATCTTCCGTCCTCCTCTTTCGCTCTCTGTCTCTTTTTCTGTGTCCAGGAAAACCTTACAGACTACAGTAAAGTGATCTTTATATAGATGCCATGATTGATGAATTTATATACAACTCTGTAGACTTTTCTTACGGTAACCAGTGCTATACCTTATTTGTACTAGCGTGATTTTCTCTCTCTCTCACTCACCTCCGTTCTCGCTTTCTCTCTTCTTGCCGCCACATCCTTAAGCGCTAGTGGTAGACTGCACTAATGCAAGCTTCTATAACTCTCCCTTCACTTTCTGCTGCACTCCGCTCATAGACTGCAGCTTTAACAACTGCTGTACTGCAACCAGGCTACAGCACCAGTGCAATTGATATGCATTATGACTAGAAGAGAGCTTTTGTAGTCGAGGTCTTGCTATTTTCAGTGGGAGCTCTTTTTTTCCTGGCCATGGGATAGATGTACGGCTTCAAACTTTGTCATGCAGTGACTGGGGAGTTAATTCCTGCCCCGCTGATGAGACTCCAATTATGAGGAGCCCTGCAGGGCCGTTCCTCGCTCAAGTTTCAATTCCTTTAAACGAGCTCATGTCTAGCATACCTGCTACCAGCTAGAAACATTCATTAAAAGATACTGTTCCTGTTTAGGGGCAAACATTTCATTTTGTAATGGAAATTTTTCCACGTTTGCTGCTAATTAAGTGAAATGCTCCTTTTTTTTTGTTCCTTATTCGTGGCATGCAATTGACAGAGGTGCTGGTCGATTAGTAGAGGTGGAGCTTGACACGCAGCCCCACTCTCACTCTTGCTCTCTCTTTCTCTCTCACTCACTCGCTCACTCTGCCTCCCTTGCTCTCTCTTTCAGCGTTTGAATGAATGCACTTCTTTCTCTGTGGCGTCTCAGAGTGGTGCTTTTAATGAAAGATGCCTGGCGTCCTTTCTCCTCTTGTCTTGTTTGTGTGAGAGTCAAGGGGGTGATATTGCTCGAAAAAGACGTTCATTTCCTGTGGCACCACTCGCATTCTAAACAGATCGAATTTCTCAGTAATAATGGGGGGAAAATAAGATCAAAGAGAAACTTTTCTGAGCTAAACTGATTTTTCTTCTCCGCATGTTGGCTAATATTACTACTGTCCAGTAGTAAAGGGCTCATATTCTGTATTTTTCTTTTTACTTTATTTCTTTCCTTGTGGTCCTCTTATGTGTTTGCGATCTTATGTATTAAGAACAGACATCATTCATTTTTACATGACCATTCTCCAACCTCTTTTTGAGTTTTTTTTTTGTTATTGTGCCTTTAAAGGGCCCATATCAAGGAATACTGAATGTTACATGTTTTTTGTTTTACATAAGCATGATTAACGTTTCAAAGCGTTCCCCAATCCCAGTAGTCTGTATATAGAAATCAAGCTGCAGAAACAGCCTATATGGAATTCACTGTTTTCATGATGTCATGGAAACCAACACATTTACATATGCACACCACTTCAGCCTACAGCAGTTGAGCCCCACCCATGTATGCTGAAATTATAAATTGTGTTTCTGTCTGTACTGCTTTTTGAATAAGACAGCCAAACAGAGCACAGCACTTTCACATATGTCAGTCTTAAAGGCACAATAAGCAACACGTGTAATTGTATGGGATGAGGAAGGAAGATGCTCACATAAAAATGGATAACAGTTGTTTTTTCTCCAAAAATATCATAAGTGGGATTCAGGGAAGAAATGCAGAAAGAAAATGCAAGAAAAATGTAGGTTATGGACCCTTTAGAAATGATATGTAAATGAGCTATGTTCTGATTGGCTGCACATTTGATTCTGGTTTTAAAAATGGTACAGGCTGGAACACACTTTATAATCTGAATGTAAATAGGTGGGGCTAAACTGCAGTAGATGGACGGAATGTATGTAAATGCATTTTAGTGACATCACAAAAGCAGTGAATTCAAAACAGACCTTTTTTACAGCGTAATTTCCATAAATGGATAAGAGTGTGAATGAAACTTGAAACTTTTAAGAATGCTCACATACTACATCAAAGTCTTTTATCTGAAAATTACTATTTTACATTTATTTGTCATCATTTTTTAGATGGGCCCTTGAATACTTTTTTGTCAGTCTCCCTTTGTCTCTCTCTCTGTCTCTGCATTGTGCAAGTTTTATCAGGCTCACTGGCGTCGTGTTTTAGCCTGTCAGGTCGATTCTGTGGGAAACAGCCTGAAGAGGACTAGGCTACTTCAGGATAGCTTTATGTAACACAATGCATCAGTTAGGTGCTCTTTCTGCTTGGATATTTATAACGCTGCGAACCTCTTGTTCCTTAAATAATTCATCTACATCTGGCACCTGTAACAATTCCTTCAAGTAGCTTCTTCTTTTTCTACTCCACATTGGGATTCAGCTGAGAGCAAGGAAAATAGTGCGAGCGAGAGAGGTAGAGAGCATGAAAAAGAGAGAGTTTGTTTCCCATTTGCATACAGCATACATACAGCGATGGTTCACATTTGCGTAGCATCAATACTTCCAGCACCTGTGTTCTTCTCCTATTTGCTTATGTGATGTTTCTTTATAGACTGAGTTAGCGACTCTGACTCAGGCGTTTTTCTAGAGTGGCCAATTCTCGCACTCATTGCAGCCTGAGGGGGAGCAATGTTAGAACCACAAAGCGCAGGATTTGGCCCTGTGTCTTTCTGCATCACCAGTTCTGTCTCTGCACAGTCACCCTCTCCTCGTCTTCAAGCGCCTCCAATTCATATTTCCCCGCCTGTCAGGAACTATTTGAGTGTCCTCCCGAACTCTCCTTGCCGCGATGCCATGAAGCAAGCTTCCTGTGTTCATGCGTTAACACACAAACCCCAGAGAACTTTTCCTTTTTGCCCTTAAAATAATAGATGTCGTTTTTTAAAAATAACTTAATCCATTCAGAATAAGATTAATCATGTTTCATGGCTCCCCCCTAAATGAGTAATAGTGGAACCAATGCTTTATTGTAATCACCCAGAATCACTCTGCTTATTATGAAAAATCTTGTAGGAGAAAAGGAGGATATTTATTCATATGCCAAAGCACTATGCTAAACTGCTGGCAAGGGGCCAGCATTAACATGTCTGAGTGTATCTGTGCATGGTTGCCCTGTTGAAAAATATGCGTTACTACTGTCAGTGACATAAGGTGTGCTATCCCATAAGGAATTGCAGCATATGGTCCTCTAAATATGTACTACTCCAGCTTAAAGAAAGGTGGGCTGAAATCTTCTTTGTTCCTAAGTATTTTTAAGCAAAATATGACCTTTCTGTGTTTATTAATGCTCAGGGGTAATGAAATATTTTGCTGTTGGATAGTTTCACGACACCTTAAATTTACTGTTTGCATTCTAAAACAATTTTCTCCTTGGAGGAATTGGAGGAACAGGCTTGCTCAGTAGAACAGTAGTTTCTAAGGAGTAACTTAAGGGCCATTTGTGGGGCAAATTTCGATGTTGTCCCAGCCATCAAGACTTGTACAGTGATTAGCTGCTCACCTCTTCATACTGATGGATGGGCATTCGAGTGAATTGGCAGAAATATTCTCTAATTTCCCCATATTTCCCCATATTTTTTTTTAAAAATGTACTGTAGTCTAGCATAGTCTAAAATACTGTACTCTAGTCCTGTACTTTGATATTCCTTTGAAATGCTAGGGGCCTGTATGTGGGTGCATGTTTCAATTCCTAACTTTAATGACTAAATAATGTACTTATTTCTTATGCAGTATGTGTAGAATAATTTGTAGTTGTTACTGGATTATAAGTTAATAACTGAATAACCGACTTAGCGTTAGGGTTTAAGGCCAGTTTTACACTGAATGCTGGGAGCACTTGGGTCAATTCCAGGCCCTACCACTAACCAACCTAGTTTTTTGCAGGTGACGTCCAGCCGCGCTGCGCTGCTGGCCGTGGGGGACCCGGCTCAGCCGCAGAGCCATGGCAGCGTCCTGCAGCATCTGTCCGAACCTCAACAGCAGCCGTGTCCAGCCCCGGGCCCGGGCCTCTATTACCCCAGCTCCACGCTGCCTGGCCCGCGTGTCAGCTCTCCCCTGAGCTCCATGCAGTCTGCCGCAGCCAGTGCAGGCTCGCCCACCAAGCACCAGCGCCTGCCGTCCTCTTCCTCCTCTGCCTCACCCAAGCCTTCTCCTGGCCGGCTCGCCAAATCCTACAGCAGCAGCTCGCCCATCAACGCAGCGGGCACTGGGGGCTCAGCCTCTGGCTCGCCCCTGCGTCTGGCATCCCCGCCCAACAACGCCTCCCCTCTCCATCACCAGCTTAGTGTGGGCAGCTATGCCACTCTCTCACCCACCAAGCGACTAGTGCACTCCTCCGAGCAGTACAAGATTTCCCACGACCTGTACGCTACCGCTACTCTGCAGAGACCTGGCAGCCTTGCCGGTGAGTGACAACCATATATTGAAACTCCGTTATTAAATACACTGGGTGGATGTACTTTTTGCCACATTCACATTAAAGGGGTGGAATTTTTTTTAAACGTGATGCAGACATGATTTTTGTGCACCTAAAAAGTTCCTTTTAGAACACACAAATGACAAATCAGTCTGAGCAAAAATTTTAATTTGACTTGAACTAGAGAAACAGGCTTTTACAGTAGAATGGTAGTTTATAAGGAGTACCTCAAGGGCCAGTTGTGGGACCACTTTCGATGTTGTTAATGTCAGTCCCAGCCATCAAGACTTGTACAGTGATGAGCTACTCAATCATGCTGGTGATGGCCATACGAGTGAATTGGCAGAATATTCTCTCATTTCCCCAAAGGGTTAGAGCTGACACCAGTTTGATTGCGCAGTCAAGACTTTAGAGGATTGATTCACTTCTGATTGTGCTTGTCAGGGCTTTTGGGAATTGCATTCACCTCTGCCCCCAGTCTCCTTACCTCTTCTCATCATACACTCGTCCTCCACTCATAGACCTGTCTTCGAAGAGTGGTTTCTTTATCCACTTCTACAAATACACAGTGTTTGCTCGTAGATGAAGTTTGATTGGCTCTGACATTGAAAACAAGCTAACTAGTCAGCTTCAAAGTGAAAACATCAATGGCTTCTCCGTTGAATTAGGTAAATACCCATGGGAACCTGGTAAATAAACACATTTCACTTCTGCGCAGAGTTTTCATAGCGCTGAGCACATTCTCTCCATTTTTAGCAGAGGAAGTTATAACAGGACAGAGGCAGCAAGGGATCTGAGTCGCTTTTTATTAACATTTCTCTGCTTTCTGCCTCAGTGTATTATGTGTCATGGGAGGCCCATCCTTCTTTGCAATCCTTAAGTCTAGAGACAAGATCAGACCCTTTGAAAGAGTTCAGTGCTTTGATACGAAGTCTGATTTTGTCTTTGTGATATTCAGATGGATATCAAAGAGTGTAGCTGTGAGTTTGCTCAGATGGAGATATTTGTCCCTTGCTGCAGTTAGTTCCACTATTTCTCCAATAAAACTCCCTACACGTTTATCGTCTTCAGTCATGCCGCATCACAGTGGGATAAGAGGAAAGGAGATTAGAGCTAATAAAAGTGCATATACTGTAGCACATTGAAGGTGACAAGGTTGGAGTACTATGGGATGACAAGTTGTTTATTAGATTTACATGACAGACAAGTTTATATGGCATTAGGGCCGGCCCTAGCAGAATTTTACAGGGTATTTCAGAATGAGTACTGAAGTATTCGTTCTCAAAATCATCCTAAAAACAATAATATTTACCTTTCATAGTTAACCATTATTTCAGGTTCAAAAAATATACAGCACCTGGTAACAATGTATTAGGCTGAAGCCCAGCTGTTCATTTCTATGTTTCTATAAATACATTCTATATGTTTCTATAAATGCCACGACTTTAGCCCTCACTTTCAAATACGGCTTTTATGAGCTGCGTAGACACTAAGGCTGTAAGGAATTAGAACTTTTTATATATTATTTATCGTCATCATGATATTCATTTTTTGTTTTAGTTTGTTGCTAAATATAAATAAATAAAATGTATTAAGCTATTTTATTTGGCTAGTTCCCCATTTTTAATGATGGAAAGCCACTCAATCATGGCCTAGCTACAGAGAGTGGAGTGGAGGATTGAGGAGCTTTGGTTGCCACAGGCCCATATGAATGTAAGGATGGCCACCCTGAAAACGGAAGCAGCGGCAGCAGCACCTCCATTCCCCTCCTCATCCACTGCCAGAATTCAGCCCGAAAAACAAGTTTGAAGCTCTAAGGTCCACGGTTTTGCATTGCTCTCACCAGAGACTAGTGGTACTTGGATAAGGGTCACTGTACTTCAAAACACTTTTAAAAAAGGTGCCAACCTTTCTTTAAATTTTGCACTGAATGAATTTCTTATTGTCTGATATTCCCACATTTCTCAGGCATCTTTACTCTTTCAGCTTGCTTTGCTGATGAAATGTGTTGTAGTTTAGGCTATAATTTTTGCAGTTTGAAAAAAGGCAGATTCTAACTGTACAGTCAAATACATATGTAAACAAACATTCACATTATTCAGGCCAGTGCTGTATGACGTACATCAGTTAGTGATGTCTGTGATTGATGTGTTGTCTTCAAACAGTGTCCCTGAAATAATGAAGAATCTCATCCTGATGTTAACAAATGTTAAGCAGGTTATATTCTACAGAGCCAGCAAGCAAAGCAGGGCTTCACTCAGATGTGAAGCATCGTATCTAAATCCGCAGCTGAACACGCTGATTCGGAGCAGGTGCTATTGATCTCAGTGCTATTGATTACAGCCTTGTATTACCTGCCACACAGTCAGCTTTCCATCAAACCCACAAGCCGACACCTGGGACGCGAAAGCAGAGAAGTGGTCTGCCTGAGCCAGGCCTCCTCCCAGCCATCAGCAGCACTCCTGCATGTCACTTTGATTAAAGCACTGTGTCCTGCAGTGTCTTCATGCTTCCCTCCACCAGAGCGCCCAGCTGTGCCTCCAGCGGGAGCCTAGCCCACTAATCCCCACTCATCAGAGTTTGGCCCAGGGCCCTAGGGCCCAGATCAGGGCTCAAGTGCAGGGAACCAAGCCCAGTCATGCTCAAAGGCAAAACAGAGTGAAGTGAGGGAGAAACTTGTGCAAAGCTTGAGACTTGCTCGACTCCTTTCAGGGCACAAGCTGCATAGAGTTTTAATCAGACCTGAATGCAGCCTGATAACATTTTTTGCTAAAGACACGATCCAACTCAACCCACAGTGACAAGTTTTGAATCTGACCTGACATAAAACCGGAGAAAGTTCTGTCTGAACCCACCCACCATGTGGTTACTTTATTAGTCACATCTACATTGTAGATTATAGCTTATATTTTTCTATGCAGATTTTATGTTGGTGATTTTTTGACCCTTTATCAGTGGTTAATTTCTGACCATGGGACCTTCTAACTGGAGATTTTTTTTATTGTTTTGGATTACTTGGATCGTGAGAAGACTAAAATAAAATTTAAGACTGAATTTTAAAATGATATTATATTTAATTATTGAGGTTTCTCTGTAGTTTTTTGGTAAATACATAAGTCATTCGCTTTTTTCCCTGATGCTGAAAAATTAATAAAATTAATAACTTGTGGACATTTTGACTAGAAATTAAATAAACGAAGGCCTACAAGTGTCACAAACATATGCCACTACCATGTCAGCAGAGGGTAAACTTAAGGTGGGTTGCCCTATTTTTTCAGTAGTTGTCAACAATGTAGGGCCAGTATTCAAAGATTCTATACTTACTATACTGCACTTACAGCCGAAAGAGACCACCCTTCATTTATTTAATTTCTAGTCAAAATGTCCACAAGTTGTTCATTTTATTCATTTTTCAGCATCAAGAAAAAAAAGCAGTAGACATATAAATTAACAGAAAATTACACAGAAGCCTGTATAACTAAATATAATAACATTCTAGTTCAGTCTTAGAAGTTAGTTTCATTTTCTGCTTCTCATGATCCAAGTTATCCCAAACACATTCAGTACTGTTGAGGTCTGGACTCTGGGGTGGTCAGTCCATCGTTCTGAGAACACCACCAGCTTCTTTGTTTGATTTGCAACATGTTGTTGTCTCAGTAAGAGCTTCTTGATAGCCACACATCTTTTCAGACCCATGGTGTTGAGTTTTCTTCTCACGGTGGAAGGATGGACAGAAACACCTGTGGATTTTTTCAGACCTGAAACGAGTGGAGCTTGATTATCTAGTAGGGACAGTCTGCCAGGTCTTGTACGGTTGTTAGAAGCCTCATTTCTCTATACATTTTAATGAGTTTTGACTGCTGGTTTTTCGCTTATTTTTCTTTGACTTTCCTCTTCGTTATGCACTTATCTTATATCTAATCGTCTCAGAATTATGTCCTGTAAAAAAAAACTTGTACTTATTGGCTGTTTTTAATGTAAATAGTTCAAGGGTGGTCTCTGGCTTGTACACTACATAATTGGGAAACTCATGAAAATTGAAAACTGGTAGAATGACATGAAGACATGCAGTGGCAAAAGAATACCATAACAAACTCTGGAAAACAAGAATATGTGGCTATTTAGAGATCTGTCTGGGCGGTTTATCACATTGAATAGTTAAACAGATTTCTTGTAGGTTATACATTATATACTGAGAATGGTCCACCATCTGGTAAGCAGTCGTCCTGTGGTGGCACTTATTCCATTTGTGGACAGATTAGAGAGTAGCTGATAAATTGTGCAGCAACAGATGAGCTACAATCAGCCTACAAAGTGACAACATGGTAGATATTTCTGATAAAAATGTCCAGTGTATGGAACAAACTGGCTGCTCGATGTAAATAAAATTGAGAGGAGTTGAGTTGGTCATGTAGTGCCGGGAGGCTGCCTGGATGAATGCCAAGTGATGTTTTACCAAAGAGGATGAAGTGAGTTGTGCAAGAGGTCAGTAGCTGGCTTTACTTGGTACCTGTGTAAGGTTTCCTGAAGTATTCCTCAGATTTCCTCTGACATTACAAATACAATGAGGGAAAGCAACAAAGATGTAAAGCTGCTGTCCTGTGGTGGAGGTTGCACCACTTTGAATGTTGAAAACGCTTAGCACTTTTGGGCAAGGTGCCAGGAGGGAGCCAGCAGAAGCCCAGGAACGCATCGCATTAATTTTTTCCTGCTGATGTAAGACAGTATGGCCCACTGAGATTAGCATGTTAAACAGAGCCCTGAAATAGCTTTTCTCTTCACGTGGACATCAACACAAACATACAGTGGAAATACATGGTCTGCCTCGAGTGAGAGGCTTACTTGCTAAATCTGGGTTGCAAACAATTTACATTTCAAATGAAGGGATTTTTTTCCCCTGAAAATGGTTACATTTATAGAGCTGGAATAGATCTGTGTACTTTCTTCACATTAAAGTAATTTATGCCCTGATAGATCATTAGGGAACT